AATATTAAAAAAAAAAAAAAAAAAAAGGAATTAAAGTACAAGATTCTTTGGGTACAAAGAAAATTTGAAATATATGCATAGTTCTTCTGTAATAAGCAATTTTCATGAACTTGTGAAGACCCTCCTTGTATTATTGGGTCATCAGGAAAGTCTTGCCACATTTTTGTACAGAATAACGTAGGAAAATACATCATGCCCTTTTGATGACCCAATACATATATTATGATCCTTTTTTTTTTTTTTAAAGAGGCTTTTGCTACAGGGCGCGTGCTCTAACCAGAAAGACAGAAAGAGACAGAGACAGAATGTGAGAAATCACCCTCCGGGGGGATGGCCATGCCGCAATCCCTTCTTCTCCATTCTGCTCTCAGGATCTTGGGCACGCACGCACATGCACCATGTGAGTTTAAGCTACCGGGTCCAGGACTCGAACCACAGTCGACTACATGGGAGTCCAGCGACATAGCCATTACACCAACTGCTGGTCCCCCTATTTTTTTTTTAATAATTATTTTATTTTGGGGCCAGCAGGTGGTGTGATGGTTAAAGGCACTGGACTCCCATGTGGCCAACCATGGTTTAAGTCCTGAACATGGTGGTTTGCTTTCTCACTTTCCCTCTCTCTCTTTCTCTGTCTCTATCTGATCAAACTGGAAAATAATAATAATAAACATAAAGTTAAATAAAATAATTCTTAAAAAAAGAATTATTTTAACTCTTTTCATTTATTTATTTTAATTTGAGCAGAGAGGGACAGAGAGAGAAAGAGGGAAAGTGAGAAAGCAAGCCACCAGGTCCAGGTTGGTCATGTGGGAGTCCAGCACCTATAACCACCATACCACCTGCTGACTCCCTATGATCCTAGTTTTGTTAAATAGAAAAAAATGTGCAGAATATATAGCCAAACCTTAAGAGCAAAGTGGGATTATGAGATTTTTTTCTTCTTTTTTTATATCTAGTATTTCTAACTTAACTATGAATGACATGAGGCATTTGTGATCCTTTGTATGCTTGGCCCTCTTGTCACCTGGAACTCTGTCTTTCCTTCTCTCCTCTAATGCAGAAGACCAGCATGGTATGCATCTCAAGGATGATGAACAGGTCTGACTCCTTGCCCAGATGGCAGAGAGCCAAGCCAAGGTCACTCACTGCCTCAACCTTCTATCAAGACAGCCCAAGAGCACTTAGGAGAACGCAAATGCTTAGAGCTACACTACTACAGTCTGGAACAACGCGAGGGCTTTCACAGGCTGGCAGCTGCTGTGAAGTCAGCTGACTTCCTCCCTTTAGCTGGAGAAAAGCTTTGGCTTCCTGGATTGCACCTTTTATGGCCTTAGTGCAATTTTCCTGAGCTTCCACACCCTACTAGCTAAAGCTAGTGCTTCTGTCAAATGGAAGTAAAGCCAGTGGATAACTGTATGGCTTGGGCGGTTCTGTGATCTCGGGGTAGATGTATGCAGTGTCCAAATAAACAGTACTTTCTATGGCTAACCTACTTCAGGGTAGTGCTGAGATGGGACCCACCTCATCAGATTTCCTTAGGAAAAGAACTACCTTGGGATCAGCAATCCAAAGGCATATAACTTCCTGTTTCTTTGGAATTGCAATAGTTATTAGGAAAAAAATAAAATAAAAAATAAAAAACAAAGGAAAACACTCCCATCGCTTGCCTAATCTTAAATGTATGATTTGGTCAAAATACAAACTAGATAGAAATAAATGCCCCTGAAGTGAACCAATTTCCCAAAAATTGCAAGTCTCTTTTATCGTTCTTTCTGTGATAGCCCCCGATTCACGCTTCTGTACCTCCGCTCTCTGCCTCCTCCTCCCTCAGACCCAAGCTGGCATCTCTTAAGTAGCTTTTTGTGCCCTATTTACAACCTTTTATGTCCACTTCACCAATGACAACCAGAGACAATATTTCCCAATTCCCCATTCACTGAAGGAGCAGCCCACGCTAAGGTAGACAAGAGCAGACAGTGGCTCTCATGGTCACGAGCCCCATGAATAGCCTTCGTAGAGTTATGGTGCTGCCAGTCCTCTCACTCCAACCTGCTCTGCTCAGGTCCCATCCAGTAGGAAGCCTACCAACTGAACTGAGGAAAGTGTACACCCTATCGTTAGTAAGTTCATTAAACACACATCTCTGCAAAACCAGGTGTAGAACCTGAGACTTACTGATCATGGTGGTGCCACCTGCTAAGGCGGCCTTTGTCCCTTGGAAGAAGTCATCCACTGTGGTCATGCCCTTGTATGGCATCTGGAAATGAGTATGGACGTCGATGCCTCCAGGGATCACCATCTTCCCATTGGCTTCGATGGTCTTCACTCCTCCAGGGACAATCAGATTGTCTCCAATTTGCCTGGTGGGACAACGAAACAACTGGCCATTTAAAAGAGCAACTTTGAAGACAAACATAAGGTTACAAGGATTTTTTTTCAAGAATTATTTATTTAGTTTTATTTAATATTATCATTATTTTCAAATTTGCTACACGCTATGTGCACTCACCAGAGAGACAGAGAAAGAGAGAGAGAGGGAAAAGTAAGGAAATAAGCCACTAGGTCCAGGACTGTTAACTATGCGGTCAGCCACGTGGGAGTCCAGCACCTTTAACTATCATGCCACTTGGTGGTCCCTTATATTCGGATTTTAAACCCAACAACTTGTATTTATCAAAATATTCTTTCCAAGTGACTCTATAAAGAAATATAGATATGCATGAAAGAAAACAATTTTTATCAACACAAAACAATCTGATAGGCTGGTAAGACCACATGCCCTGGCTTAGCACTGTACCTCTCCAGTGTTGTGATGGTGTCCAGGATATAGCGTATGTAAGGAATTTTTCTGGGGGGCAGTGGGCAGTGTAATGGTTAAGGTGCTGGACTCCCACATGATCAACAGTTTGAGTCCCAGACCCAGAGGCTTGAAATTCACACCGCGTATATATGCATGCTTGCCCAAAATCCTGAGAGGAGAATGGAGGAGAGGGGATTGCAGCATAGCCACCCCCCCGAGGGGTGATTTCTTGCTTTCTCTCTCTCTCAGTCTCTGTCTATCCAGGCGAGCTTACATGCCCTAGAGCCAAAAATCTCTAAAAAAAAATTAAATTAAATTAAATTAAAAAAGGAAAGAAATGTTTCTGAAAAAGTATTATTATTTTTCCTTTCATTTTGCTCTTTATTTAAGGACGAGGAATCATATTTAGAGATGTCTCTACCAAGTGTAAAATACTGAGCTGTGAGGAGAGATGGAAGAAGGTAATGAATCAGTGCAAGAACAAGTGTGGGAACTGGTCTCCTCTAAGCTGCGCTTCTAACCAAAGGACTCTAGCTGGGTCATTTCCCACCTCAGTCCTCACTCCAAACTCCACCCCTCCCTGACAACTTATTAGTGAGTCCCAGCTGATGGCAGACTCACAAGGAGTAGGTCAAAGACACAGATCCTCCAGCATCAGCTGCTTTTGTCTGGCCAACATCTCAGTGGAAGCTTTGTGCCAAGGAAGGTGACTGAGACTACCTGCTAGACACGGCTTCACCTGGGAAGCCTCAGGGCAGATCAGAGAGAAAAAGGGCCACTCGGGTGGGGAAGAACCTGATGAGTATCTCAAAGGCACACAGAAGGCAGTGCAATGACTCCTGCAAAGTTTTACTGACAGGTCATTCAGTGTTGCTTGGTTTATTGGTGCTATCACATCCTTGATTTAAATGGCTAGTCAAACTTGTCCACTTTGGGATCAAGGTAGACTTACAATTCATAAGCCTCTACGTTACCATTAAATATCTTCTATCTTTTTTAGAATTATTTATTTAAATGTATTCATTATTATTATTATTATTATTATTTTAATTTGCTATAGGGCACATGTGCTCATCAGAGAGACAGAGAGCAAGAGAGAGAGAAAGCAAGCAAGCCACCAGTTTTGAGACTTGAACCACAGTTGGCTACATGGGAGTTCAGTGCCTTAACTACCATGCCACCTGACAGCCCTAAATATCTCCTGTCTTAAGGAGATATGTATCCCACTGCCAGTGCAGGAATACTTCCTCTTTTGTTCACACCCAGCCAAGAGAGATTTTCCCTCGTGGAGTATCTTGGGCAGTAAGAAGCCCACCCCTGGCCTGCCACACTCAAAGTTCTGCAACTAAAATAAAGCATTTCTAAAATCTCTAAGGGTTCAACTTTACCACATCATCACTGGGCCATTCCAGGTCACCACAATTCAAAACCCACTGTGGAAAAAAATCCAGCCTTGATGGTAACTCCATGCTAGTCCAGATACTGGCCAGTTCTGTTTTCATTTTCCTTTCTCACTGATTTTCCTCTGAGAGAAATTGAGGACCAGTGGTAGGAAGCAGAGCCTGGCCTGTGAGTGTGAATGTGAGTGTGTATGCGTTCACCCATTTTGACAACTAGCATAATACCAAGACTGAAAGAGGAATGCATCTCCCTTTTTTCTCCACTGCACCAATCAAGGTCACATTAATTCTTGAATGCTCAACTTCTATCTCTACTCTTTGGTCAAGTTTCTACTGACGACCAAGTCTATTGGGTAAGGGTGTGGCTATGCTCTGGATTGACAATCTACTCTGTCAGTTACTAGCTGTATGACCTTGGCCAAGTTATTTCACCTCACCATGCCTCTATTCTTTCATTTGTAAAATGTAATAAAGATGCCTCCTCCTTAGGGCTATGTATAATAATATGTGCAAGCCCATAAAACACTATTAGGCACATAAGAATTCAATAAATACCAATTACTATAATTAGTAGCCAGACTGCTCCCACCTCTAAATCTCATCAATTCTAATTTAATATTGGATACTGTTACTACCTGGCAAGTTAGGTCTTTTACATATATACAGATATCTTGGTTGCCCCCAAAGACTATACGGTCTCTAGGAAAGACAGCATAATGATTTGGGCTCCTGTGACAGCTACTGTACTATGTGACATAGCAGAGCCTTCGTATAGCAATTATGTCGCTAGACTCTGACATGGCTGACCACGGTTCAAGTCCTGAACCTGGTGGCTTCAAACCCGCACTGAGTACATGTGCATGTATACCCAAAATCCCAGGAGAAGAATGGAAAAGAGAGAACTGAGGTGTGGCCATCCCCCCTGGGGGTGATTTCTCACTTTTTCTCTCACTGTCTCTGTCTGTCTCTCTCTGGTGAGCCCATGCCATGTGCCCTAAGGCAAAAACCTCTAAAAAAAAGAATTCATCTTACATATTCAGCTCTGGCAGAGAATGCCTGAAGCACCATGTGAGGATGGATTGTGAACCAGTATTTAAGGTTCAACTGTGAAATGTTCTATAATAGATGAGTGATGCCTAGCATGAGCTCTGAAATGAGGATGCATTAGGTATTAGATTATTTTTTCTCTCTGCAAATCTCTTAAGTGAGAGCATTTGCTACGTGGCCATACAGAGCCAATTATAAATAATAAATTTTTTAATAATAGAAAAGTACAAAATCAGGGCCGGCAGGTGGCATGGTGGCTAAGGGCACTGGACTCTCTCATGGTCAAGCACGGTTCAAGTCCTGGACCTGGCAGCTTAATTTCTCACTTTCTCACTCACACATACTCTGTCCCTCTCTGGTCAAAATAAAAGAAATAAAGTCAAATAAAATCATTCTTTTTTTAAAAAAAGAAAAATATAAAATCAATTATGGCTTATATTTTGAAGAAATTATTGTTTTACACTACTGGATCATCAGATAAGTCATGACATAGTCTTCTGTTTTCCTATGCAAAAATGTCTCATGACTTTTCCAACGCCCCAGTACTTGGCTTATCTACTATTTCCATTTCTCGCACATCTAGTATGAGAAAGTAATGATGTATATAATAAAAGAAAGTAGTGCTGTCGATGGTCAAAGCAACTATACAAAATATCTTTGTTCTTATTTTGTTCATTTATTCATTCAACGTATTTGACTAATAGGTAGATGTTTAGTGAGTTACTTCCTTGCTCTGTACCTTTCTTCTCACTGTAAAAGTAGGACTCACTTCATTTGATTGCAGGCAGGTAGAATGGGATAAAGCATGTAAGACTTTAACACAGTGCCTGGCGCGCACTACACACTTAATGAAAGGTAGCTCTTGTAGCTGTGTATTGAGTCCTAGGGTTCAAGTGTTGGGGTACAGCAATGAACCAGATTTGGTTTACACTCTTGAGGTGGTCCAACAATGTCAGAAATGCTATAATTGAAAAAAAGCACACAAGGTTTTGAGAACACATAGAAGGTGAGCTAGTCTGGGGACCAGCAGTTGACGTAACGGCTATGTCGCTGGACTCTCACGTAGTTGACCACAGTTTGAATCCCGGACCTGGTGGCTTAAACTCACACCAGGCATGCGTGCGTGCGTGCGTGCCCAGGATCCTAAGAGGAGAATGGAGGAGAAGGGATTGCGACGTGGCCATCCCCCCGGGTGGTGATTTTTCACTTTCTGTATCTCTGTCTCTCTCTGTCTTTCTGGTGAGTGCATGTGCCCTATAGGAAAAAAAAAAAAAAAAAAATCTCAAAAAAAAAAAAAGTTACCTGGTTGGGTTGCTTTTTTTCTAACAGAAAACTGTTTAGGTGGTCAGGAAAGCCATTATGCATTTTCCTATGCAAAAAATGCACCATGACTTTTCTGATGACCTAATTTTTAGTACTTACATCTCCTTAATGAAACTATTTCAAAATCTTGTCTGAAATTCCTGTTCTACCTGTGCTCTGACCATCGAAGCCTTACCTTTTTGTCAAGGTTCAGTTTGAATTCCCTGTTCAAAACCATACCTCTAAATGTTTTCTCCTTTCTGTGTACTGAAAAATCACTTCTGATTTCATATTTTGGTACCTATTACGTAGGCCTTTTTTTTTTCTTTTTTTAAGGTACTGCAATTTATACATATTTGTCAGGATCCTCAAGGCCAGTGGCCACATGTTCCATCTTCTAAGACCCATAGAGTGCTCACCATTAGCAGCCTGCACCGAGGAGGCCTCAGACTCATTCCGCTGATTGAATTCAAAGTTTTTTCCCTTCATTCTTGTCATCCCTGTGTTTTTCTGGACCTCTAACAAGAAGAGGAAGTACAGGAAGATAAAGAGAAGGGTTATACATACGTACTTTATTAAGCCATCTTCCATGTAGATATCAGCATAAAAGGACTGATCATCATTGACGATTCTGCCTCCCTTGATGAGGAGACGGTCACTCTAGAAGAGAAGGAAAACAAGTCATTCTCACAGCTGGAATCACAGAGAACAGTGGTCAGCTAGGGTTTCTCCAGTTCATTGTTCTAGAGGCCCCACTAGAAGCGTATTTAGGAAAGACATTTGTGTGCTCAGTGCTTTCAGCATTTGAGCTGGTGTATTTGGTGAGCATCCAGTCTTCTTGTTGGCTTCCAATTCAAATTATTCTGCGGTTTTGCCTCTTGCTTCTCAAACCTATCATAGTCACTCAGAAATGTAGCTACTCAAGTGAGCAGGACACTCTTTATATTATCTTTCCTTGTTCAGTAAGCATTGAATATTCAAAATGAAGTATTGTATACTTCAGTGCCTAGCATATTGCTTGGTATTCTGCTGACACTCAATGGTGATTTTCAAACATAGAATTTAGGATGGAGCATACAATAAAACAAGCTTTTAAAAGTATTTATAATGGGGGCTAGCAGATGGCAAAAGTGGTTATGTTGTTGGACTCGCACATGGCTGACTGTGATTTGAGTATTAGACCCAGTGACTTGAAACTCACATCAGGTGTGTGTGTGTGTGTGTGTGTGCGTGCGTGCCCCAGATCCTGGGAGGAGAATGGAGAAGTGACTGTGGCATGGCCATTCCCCCTGGGGGTGATTTCTCACTTTCCCTCTTACTATCTCTGTCTCTCTCTCTGTCCAGCGCATGGGCCCTACAGCAAAAAACTCTTAAAAGAAAAAAAGTATTTATAATGACCTGAGGACATGGCCAGATCACGTAATATTTACAATACAGGATACTTACACATGTATGCACACAGAGTCGTGAAATGTATAAGAAAACTATTAGATAAGAAAAGAAAAAATACCCATAGTATTTAAGTAGGTTGGAAAATTATGTATAATTTATATAATTTTATTCAGTATTTTACATATTTTCTGAGTGTATTTCTTCATTGCTTTAATTACAAGAAAAATAAAGTCTTTGTGAAAATTTTAATTTGGATACAATTTGGATAAGTAACCTGACTGGAAACAATACACCTATACTCCAAGTTCATTAATAAAATAAACATACGTTTTATGTATAAATTAGGAAAGGGGCAAACCAGTGTTAGACCTAGAGATCTCAGATTTCATTAAAGGAATGGAGCTTAGACTGGAGCATGAGGGATGCATGCAGCTTTGCTGGATTTGTCGGGGAGAAAAGAACTTCCAGGAACCCGGCTGAATGGACCTATGCATGCATAAAAAACAGGAGGCTGTATGTGGCGAAGATTCAGCTCAGTGCCTTCAATTCTACCCATCCATCATCCATTCATCATCCATCATCCATTCCCTCACTCGCTCAACAAATAATCACTTAACATTCATTATTAACTAGGTGAGGACAGTACAGTTGTGAATGATCAGGCCCGGATAACTTTTATGGAACTCAAAGAGGAAGTCTAGTCACAAAGAAATAAAACCAGCAAAACAAATGAAATGACGCAAACTTGTATTAGGCGTCATAGAATATATGGGATGAAACTGGTTCAAATGGAGGCTGGAAAAAGCCTTTTCAGAAACAACAATTTGGATGGAGGTAGGGTGCTAGTTTCTAGCATGTGTGGAGGCCAGGATATAGGAGATTTTGTTTCTTTAAAATCTGAAAAAGATCAATGTGAGGGAGGTTAGGGTTCAAGGAGGAAAGTGGCATGAGATAAGGTGGGGAGAGAGGGCCGGCTAGTCAGGGTGGGCTTGGCAAGAGTGTGGCTTTGAATGAAAAGACATTGAGACACCTGCAACTGCCAGGAGAGGAGTAAAGACCTACGTGGGGAAGGCAGTTCTGGACTGCACAGCTCAGGGCAAATGTCCTCCATGGCTATTTGACCACCAGGAGTAAAAGCCATCGGTCAAGGGATCAGGGGCAAGAAGGCCTCATATTCGGGGCTAACCATGATCAGCATTCCTTTGATCTTGATTCCCTGGCCCCTGTTTGAGAACAGTAGCTTTCACAAAGGATGTAGGTTTCCTGAAGAAGGGAAGCCCCTGAGACTGGCTGGACTTCTTGCTTCAGAAAGGAAAGGGTGTGAACAGAAAATGAAAGTTAAAGAAAATGAGAGGTAAAGTGTGGGTCCCATGTGGGGTATAGAACATTACTGCTTCGCTTCTCCTGCTTCCAAGGTATTGCGTGAGAACAGGAAATTTCATCATGTCACATTGTCGAGGGAGAGGATTTTAAAAAGAAACAGATCAATGAGGTGTTTAGAGAAAACCTGCATGTGTGGCAAAGGAAGATGTGCTAATGAGGTCAAATATAAACCACCACATGTGATCTACAAGCCCCTCATGATCTGGTCTCTGCCAATATGTCCACCCCCAAATCTATGGGGTGTTGCCTCATATTTTGTACAGTGGCTAAATTACCAAATATGTAGTTCTTGTCACCTATCAGGCTCTTGGGACACTAAGTAGTTGCAAAAATGTCCTCTCTGCCTTCTTATATGTTCACTGCCCTCTAATAAATATCTTCTCCTTTGGTGAGCCAAAAGGTTTCTCCCCTAGGATACATTACCTGCCTTTCCAGAAGAATATTTCACCTGCTCCCGCTACAATTTAGTTTGAACAACTATAATGATCTGTATCACTTGATTTATCGTCCAATTATCTCCTCACTAGACCAGAAGACTCCTTTGGTTTTGGAACCCTGTGTCTTGATCTTTACACCTTGGCTCTTGAAGGCCATCCTAGACAGCTGCTATATATACTGGTCAAATGAACAGCGGAAGGGCAGGACATGGGAGGCTGTATTATCCTGGCATGATAGAAAGGTATCTGAGTCAGAACATGATTGAAATGGCCATGAAGGCTGTTGTAACCTACTCTTTAACAACACTTCAAAATTATATGGTACAGTTCTAGTTCTATGCTTCCAAATGAACGTGCACATTAGGAAAATATATATTCTCAGTAACTGCCACCAAATCCGTATTTGGTCACCAAATCTGTATTTTATATGCTCCAGAGGAATCCTCCACAGTCATCAGCCAGCCCAGTACCAAGCGACAGACCAGTTCCAGGCACCTCTGTGTGTCGATGAAGGTGACCCAGCATCTCCAACAAGAGCTTCATAATGATAATAACTGTAATAGTTCCCTCTTGTAACTGGATACTTTTCTGATTTTTTTTCTCTTTCCAGCAAAAGGGCGGAACTAAACTGATATTTGGAAAGGGGCCAGACTCTGGTTAAACTGAGACAAGCTATGAAATATGACCGGCCTAAGGACATTCAGCCCCAAACCACTGGTGTGATCATCACTTCCTTTAACAAGAATCAAATGTCAGCAAAGGGGCAAAAGCTATCTCGGGCCCTGTGTACAGCAGGGGAGTGGAGATTACCAGCTGATCCAGGAGGAATTAACACCATTAAGATGGCATCATTGGAAACTCTTCAAAATGGTAATTAAATAAACTCTTTCTGGCTCAATAATCAGGAATCTAAACAGAGCCCAAAGACAAATGATAGGCCTGGTATAGGTTTCAGAGAAGGAGTGACAAGCCACCTGTGCTTCGTGGGCTGCAAGGATTACTATTATTATTATTTGTTTTCACCATGCAGAGCAGAACTATCAAAACCTAAACCCACAGAGCTCAAACAAACACTTCCCCTGGGGGTCTTCAGTTTGCTCCCACGGCCTCCTCCTGCAAACCACTTGATTAATTTTAACTCTTTCCATGCATGAGCGATCCATGACAAAGAAGAGCCTAGGCAAATCAAGCAAACCAATCAGACACCCGAGTCTGAAAGGCAGTTCTTTGGCTTGGCACTGAGGAATGTGAAGATTGGGTATGATGTAACTATTGACTACCCCCAAGCCATATAAAACCAAACCTTGGGGCCAGCAGGTGTCCTGGTGGCTAAGGATCTGGATCCCACATGGCCAACCATGTAGTTTGAGTTCTGGACCTAGTGACTTAAAACTCATGCTGGGCACATTTGCGAGCATGCCCAAAATCCCAAGAGGAGAACGGTAAAGGTATTGCAGCATGGCCATCCCCTCTGGGGGCGGGGGGAGGGGTGTGATTTCTCACTTTCTATCTCTTTGTTTCTCTGTAGAGTGCACGCACCCATAGCAAAAATCTCTCTACCAAAAAAAAAAAGAGAAAAAGAAAAAGAAAAAGAAAAAGAAAGAAAAAGTTGTGTGAGTGTGTGTCCTTGCCCAAAGTCCTGAGAGAAGAATTGAAAAGGGATTGTGACATAGCTATCCCCCACTAGAGGGTGATTTCTCACTTTCTCTCTCTTTATGTTTTTTTCTCTCTCCAGAAGGGCACACACTCTATGACAAATGTCTTAATAAAAATAAATTTAAAAACCTCACCAGACACAAAAAAATAGTTGTCTATGAATTTATGACCAGCCTCATGGATTAAATATGTTAGGCTCAAAAACCAGAATAAATAAGCCCAACATCTATTACAATGAATGAATGTCATTTTCCATAATGAATATGGCTTTGTGAGGCCTCTGTGTTTCTGATCCTGGCAGCAGAAGTTGCCAAGCATCCATGACCTGATGCCTAAGGAGGTAAAATGGTCTAGCCTGGCACTTACCAAATTTTTGGATGTAATAAGGCACATACAAAATAATATTGCTAGAGCACACTGGGGTGACCCAGAAAGTATCTGGAACCCAAAATCAAGCTATTTAATGGCCAAAGCAACCAGCCAGGGATTCTGCTTTAGGCCCCGCACAGCCCCCAGGGCTGAGTGAGTCACAGTCTCGCAACTGGCAGGATGCCAGACAAACCAGTTGGCACAACTGGGAGAACCAGACAGACCACTTAGGTAGGTATGCCATCCTGAGTTAGGACTTAGCTTCTCAGACTTCAGTTTTTTTCTGGAGTGAGTAAAACCTAGCTCACTTCACAGGGTAGCTATCGGGAATGAGGGGCAAAAAGTGCAGTGGTAAAATGCTGCGCTCTGGGGACCAGCATTCCGCGTAATGGCTATGTTGCTGGACTCCCATGTAGTCGACTG